TGGAGGATGGAAAAGAAAGGGGAAAATGGTGTATTATAATCTCAAAATAAAAAAAGAAATAACTTTTTTTAAAACCTCAAATAAGAAAGAAAGAAGGAAGGAAGGAAGGAAGGAAGGAAGGAAGGAAGGAAGGAAGGAAGGAAGGAAGGAAGGAAGGAAGGAAGGAAGGAGCCTGTGGGAATGGCCAGGGAAGAGCTAGCTTTGAAGAAGTGGGAACTACAGCACTTACAAGATGTCAGTGGACATCACAACTCACCGAGAAGCCTCTCAAGAGGGTGAGTGTGAAACCAACTTACTGTGCACCAAGTCCCAGTGTCTCATCAAGTCCAGCCCCTGATTTAGCGCTTCATCCTCATCTTCCTCTTCGTATGACACCATTGATTTTGATTCAGTCAGGCTAAGAGACAGATGGGGCAGGAAGGGCCAGACCCCTTAGCCACACTGCCCCAACACTTCCCTCCATATTGTGACACTTCTTCATCTCACACTCAGCCATAGGAGATCCGGCTCTGTAGGGAAGAGGATTACAGGGACATTCACTGAAGTAGGGACATGAGTAATGAGACTGAACTCCCCAGGCCCATTGGTAATGACCTCTTAGATGTGGAATCTCTTTCAGAATGTTGGAGATGGGGCAAAGGCATGATTGGGAGAGAGCAAAGGCCTAGCATGAGGCTACCTGAAGCCACATCATCCCTGTTTACACCCAAAGACCCTGTTTAGGGGGTTTGTTTGTTTATTTGGTTTTGCTTGAATTTACTTAAGCTAGGTAAGACTGGGAGTGGGTAGCACCATTGTCCTACCCTCAGCCTTCATGGGGATGAGAGGAGGCAGGAGTTCTCTTTCTTTGTTGGCTTTTTTGTTCCACTTCATTTGGAGCCTGAGGATTTGTTCATATCTTCATTTGGATCCCAAAACTGTCTTTCCTTTGTCTCTTGATTTTAACTTTTAAATAAGGAAAATGTTGAAAGAATTAGACATTAGAAAATGTTTTATTCCTTATCAATATAAAGACAATCAGACTGCGCCTAGTAGAGGCCTAAGTGTGCTGTTGTTCACATTGCATCTACCTTTAAAGCTGTCAGTGTTACAGGATAGCTTGTAAGGAGTATCTTCTCTCCTGAAAGACTTGATAATCCATGAAACCTAAAGGAGCTGAACGTTGAGCAATAGACTGGTACTGCAAAAGCAATACTTGCATGCTTTACACAACTCTCTTCATGTTTTACAATAAGTGTAAATACAAGCACAGTATACCAACTTATTCATGCATTTTTATTTGATGAGGGAACTCATTGTTTGCCTTTTATTTCAATCTGGTGTGGAGATAAACAAATAACATCTTATTTGTTTTTGTCCTGGAATGTGTTTGATGAGCATCAGGAATGCCACTACGAGATACAGGGCTGCTGGTTAGGTTTCTTCATCCCCCTGCCACTAGCTCAATGATTTAACCTTTAAAGAAATTACAGGAGAATTAGTAGACCTTGGAGCGCCTCCCATTTCTACAATCCTCTGCATATTAATCCTAGAAATTTAAGATCATTTTCTGTGGGTTACTTAATCATGTCTGAAGTCTCCTCAAGATTTCAAGCTTCTAAAATTAAAGAGCACTTTTTCTTTGGACAGCTATTTAGTCAGGCCTGTATTTTCCTTAAATATATTGCTGTCAGTACATTAAATTGTTCTCTATATCCCAAATCTTCAGAAAAGACTATAAAGCACATATTATGAGAATACTACACATATTTTAAGTCACTGTTTTTTTTGTTTGTGTGTGTGTGTGTGTGTGTGTGTGTGTGTTAGGGTGTGTACATGTATGGCACATGTGGGGGTGGTGCATACTCATGTATGTATATCTAGATGTAAAGGCCAAATGTTGATTTCGGGTCTCTTTCAGTTGCTCTCCACCTTAAATTTTGAGACAAGGTCTTTCAGTGAACATGGAGCTCACTGATTTGGCAAGGCTAGATGGTGAGCAAGTTCCCAAGACCCCCTTATCTCTGCCCCACAAGCCTAGGTTTACAGGTGTGGACTATCACTTCTAAACTTCTAAATAGGTGGTAGGGATCTGAACCCAGGTCCTCACGCTTGCAGAACAGGCATTTTATAAAATGAGGCATCGCCCTCACTGGGTAGACAGCTCAGTAGACAATGTACTCGCTCAATCATGAAGACCAGCGTTTGTATTCTCAGAACCATAAAAACCCAGATGTGTTTGCACACATATGATAATATCAGCCTGCCTGTGGTATAATGACAAACACAAACAAGATTGTCTCCAGAAGTTCCCAAGCCAGCTAGCCTGGCTGGCATATGTCACAGTGAACAATAAAGTAAATATCCAAGGTTGTTCTCTGACCTCCCCACATGTGCGCCATGGCATACGTCTGAACACATGCACAGGAACATGCAAGCACGTACAATACACACACATAAAAGGTGGCTACCATTTGAGCCAGTTTAGTTTCTTTCTACATAGTTGACAGACAAGGTATTTATGACTTTTGTGTGATGAGTAACCTTCTCAGCCATTTCTCATACTCTGTTATTTAAATTGGGATCGACGATCTGATGTGTGATATCACATTGAAGGGCAAACTGGTTACAGAGGGACAGAGGAGGAAGTAATTTATATGTGCTTTAGGCCATGCTAGGAGTTAAGCTCCGACCTCCCAGCAGAGGTGCGTTGCCCTTAATTTCCCTTGCAATGACGGAGGAGAAGGAGGGGGTGAGGATGCTCTTCTGCACTGCGTTCTGTAGACTCCCTAAATTATACTCTCTTGCTGGTGTGCAACTTTAAGATTATTCCTGCACTGTCAATGCACTTCCCCTAAAGGAAATCATATCTGCCTCTATTGCATACACAAGTTTAGTGAGAAAAAAATAGTTTGATGTATCCTAAGGCATTAAATGCTGCCACTTAATTTTATTATATATCATAAATTCATATAGGGCTACATAAATATATTCAAAGTTTCAGAATGAATAAAACTAGGTGACATTTCTAAAAATTAGGACATTTTTTGACACTTAATCTTTAGGACTTCTTTAATACTACCCCCTGGTTACGTTATTGGCTCCCAGTGAACATGTAGCATTTTGCCCAATCAAAAGCATAAATTCTCCAGCAAGAGAGATAACTCCAAAGTTTATGGTTTCTGACCTTCTAGGATATCAAATCATTCTTGACTGTCATCAGTTTCAGTGGACTTTGGAAGAGCTGACTGAATTTCCATTCCCCAAATTCTCTCTCCCACTGGCCTTATAGCCTACTGTTTTCTCCTCCCTCCCTTCCTCCTCTCCATTTTGAGATTTATGAGGCAGACTGTATATATAGCCCAGGCTAGCCTGTTCTGAGGCAGATTGTGAAGCCCATGCTGGCCGGGAAGTCAGAATAGTCTAGCTCAGCTCCTGAGTGTCTCATTCATTACAGGTGTGTCAACTACACCGGAAAGGGAGCTCCTTTGATGCTTACTTTGTATTTGTATAAGCTGTGGTTTAAGGTTTTTGAAAGATTATATTGTGATGTACTGCATTTTAGCTAGTCAGCTTGGCATGTGGATGGGCTTAAATCAGGCTTAACTAGCAAAGCTGCATTACAAGAGACTGGCTTTTGCTGTTTGGTCTGTTGTTCATTTCTTTGTGTCCTTAAAGCTTCTTTCCAAGTGATGTCAGAATGACTAACTCTAGGGCTTCCTGTTTCTAACCTGATTTCCCTCTTCCAAACCCAGGATCATGTGTTAATTTGTGTTAGGGACTTAGAGCTCTGTAGGCGTGGGATGTTGCAGATTTTCGCAAGAGCAGCGTAAGCTATTCCCGGTGATCTGCTCTTGTCTGCGATGAGAGGCCTAACGCTTCACTGAAGCTTCACAGTGTGCTCTGTAGTGTGTTTTCTTTCTTTGTTCATCTGCCAATCAAGCAGCATCTTCAGGAAAACATTAGAGCAAGAACAAATATTGGAAATGTCAAAATAGAAAGCTGAATTAGACTGATCCCATAAACGGCAGTGGTGTCCAGTAAAGTTGTACTGAAATGAAAAGCTGTTTCCTTTTAAATAGTAATTATCATGCAAAGACCACATATAACTTGAATTTCAAAAGTGTGCTAATTCTATTGCCAATTAACAATCATATTTCAGTTGTTAGGTCTGAGGTTTCAGTTAGTTAACTGTGTTTAATAAATCTTCTAATGCCTATACCATCTCCATTTGCATAGGACTGCAGAGTTTTTTGTTATTAAATTATTAATTATTGTATCTGAGAGCCATGTGAACAGCCTCAATTCAAATGCAAGGATCTAAAGGCTAACAAACTTGACATACAGCAAAGTCAGCTTTGTTGCTTGAAAAGGCTGACATCTAGTGGTTGAAGATGTTATTTCAAATTAATAAACAGTCATTACCATTCGCCTTTACCAGATATTTTCATACACACACACACACACACACACACACACACACACACACACACCACAATCTTTTTTTAAATCTTTTATCACAATGTACATTGCAGCAGTCTGATAATCAATGCCTTAAAAAAGGTAAGAACAGAATGTAGGTGGGAGTAAAGGTATGGGGGAATTTCAGGTGTATGGTTAGAGAAATTTTAGATATTCAGCATGGATGTGAAAAGGACTGCCTTGCAGAAATGGATAGTCCATCTGGTGTGGAATGAATCACAGGAAATGAAGCAAATTCTAGAAAGTTAGCATTTGCTATATAACTTTGCATTGTTTTTGATGCAGTATTTCCATCAGTGATGGATGCATTGTATCTATACCAAGAATTTTAGTCCCTTTTTTGTTAGAAAGTGCTTGTTGGACCTTGTCCATAGCTAATGATATAAGATATTTCTGAGGAGTTTGTGCATGAAAAGAATGAAAATATTAGAGGGCATAGGCAATCTACTGTGGAAAGGTCAGAACTCAAGCAATCTCACCACCTTCTAGTTCAACATCACCCTTTCTCAGAGCAACGTCACATTTTAACCTCTCCTACTTAATAATTATGATATATTAGGACTGCTATGAATGAATTACATATTGGGAATCCCTCAATAGATATTTCAGGTGGATTGCAGCTCAATCTACAAAGTTAATAACTGCCATGGGAATATATTTTAATTTAAATTCTTTGAACGTTTCAAATGTAAGTCTTGTATTTACATCACTGCCTTCCCTTCCTTTACCCTCCAATTCTTCACATGCCCCCCATGTTTTTTTACCTACTCACTCATTATTATTGCTATATATACGTATATATACATAGCCTACTGAGTCCGTTTAGTGTTGCTCATACATGTATAGGTTTAGGGCTGACCACTCAATATTGGATAACCTGTCAGGGGGCTTTGTCGCAAGAGAAAACTAATTCTCCCTCTCTCAGCAGCCATTATTTATCTACAGTTCTACATCTGGAGGTCTCCCTCCCATATCCACACTGGCATGTTAATTGGGGTTGTCATCACGCACATCTTGCTCTGTTGTTGATATATCAAATTGGGGCTTGGCTCCCCACAGTCAGTTGTTCTTTGCATTTTGACCAGTTGTGTCTTTCTTTCTATATGGATCTCCATGCACTACAAAGAGAATTTTCTTTGATGAAGGGTGAGGGTTTACTCTTATCTGAAGGTATAAGGATACCTGGGTGGGACTATTGGTTGTTGCCCTCTCTTGGTAGCTTATTTAATAACATCGCTAGATACCATGAGAGCTAGTCCTCAGGGACGGGCTTTCTAAGTCCATTCCAACTTGATTCTTTCAAGTACTATATCTGAAGTGGTTTCTTCACCAACAGGTCTTACTTTCAAGTTCTGGGAGGCAACTGAGACAACAGCAGTAGCTGAAATTGTTTGGAAAGTCTTTCGGACCCTCCTGAACAAAAACTTGAAGGGAGGTTTCCTATGGCTGGTTCTCAAGGGGGAACATTACCACTCCATGTGGTATAACTTCACTTAATATATATGTGTATATATTGTACATGCCTTTCTAAGCAAACATAAAAAAATATGAAAGGAGTCTTTTAATTGCAAAGGCTTAATAATCAGAAATGTTTGGCAAACAGCAGTGTTCAAATGACCTTGACTTTGTGTTAGCTTTACAAATGTCACCTTTCTATTTCATATGGTCCATGATAATGTATAATGTTTGCCCTTTTGATTTAGGAATTCCAATAATACCTGAATTCTATGAAAAGTTTTATTTTTTTCTGCAAGATCCCATGGCTGTAATTCAATATTCAGCACCCAACCTACTTTTATGAAAATGGATATTCTGCTTTGATTGGATGTGCAGAAAGATGATTTCTGCTCACAATGTTAACCTTAGTCAGTGAGATCCTAGTGCTCAATGTTGTTGTCCCTTATTTGCACTCTGATTCAGCAGATCTCCAAACACCCCCATTATGTTTGATCTCCTGAAATGTTCATTTCTCTTGGAATAAATTTGTGAGCATTTTAATTGGCCCAGAATGATGCCGACTGATAATTTTGATGCGAATTCTCTAATTTCTAATTCGTGTCAACACATTTTCATAACAACTTACAGTCATTTGATTGAAGATTTTAAATATAGATGACATTTTAAAAACTTTATTAAGGGCTTTCCCCCTCTTTATTGCTACAGATAGTTTGCAAGTTAAAACAGTCTGTCTAACTTAGTGAATGGTTACAACAAATTTTAGATCTCAGAAGCACAGGTTAGTATCATTGTTTCAGCACTTATTATGCACATAAAATGATTCTCAGAGAAGTCCAGTGAAGAATAAACATATGCATGAAAATGTCCTACCAAAAGACTTAACAAAACATATAAGCTTATACCATGCTTCACCCAACATCGATTTGATGTTTCCTATATCTACATACATCCAGAGACATGCCCCAAACCTTATCTAAAATGGAAACCTTGCTTTAGTTTCTTAGTGATCCCTTCTGACTCACTACTTACCAAAGCCTCTGTTGCTTCTGCATAATGCCTCCATATGCAAATGCTCCTATAACAAAGAGGAGAGGTTGCAGAGGAAGGTGCAAGTGTAGGACTAGTTCAGCCCTGGAGATAATTTTAACCACACATTCTTGGAAGAAAAAATTTCCATGGCTAGCCATTATTATCATCAAATTGCAAATTGTGAGTTTCTCATTATGCAAATAGTACCCAGTGTTGAACACAATACAGTGATGTAAGAAAACAAAGATTTTCCTACAAGAAAAGATGTTCACTCATCAACCACCCTCATAAAATTAGTCCTCACTTGAACATCCTTCCTCAACTAAATTGGCATCCAATTCTGTAAATTACTTTGTGTAGTTTCATCATAAATAAGAGAAGATACAGCAAAAGCATACTGAATATTAAAAGTAAGATCTTTCCAGAGAGTCACAATGTGAATAAAGTTGAAAAACTGTTGATTCCTAATCATGGGCAAGAATATGCCATAGTTAGAGCTGCTAGCATAGATAGTTGAAGAAATCTGATAATAATCTTAAATCAAATAACTGAAATATTAAGGATTTTAGAGAAAATAATTGTTAAAAAATCTCTAAGATCCTTTGTAAAGAGTTAAACCTTGTATAAAGGGGATTGTATTTTACCACCATCATTACTGACTCAAAATACAGACCAAAAATAAACAATGGATGTATTGTTTGTTCTTTTCAAAATTTGTTTTCTAGGGCTGGAGGAATGACTCAGCAGCTAAGAGCACTGGCTATTGGTTCAGAGGATCCAGATTCGAATACCAGCAGGTGCACATGATTCACAGCTGTTGGTAATTCGAATCCCAGGTGACTCCCCCACCCTGTTCTGGCCTCTGAGGTCATCAGATCCACATGTGGTGCACAGATATACATGCTCAAAAAGCACCAGTACATATGGAAATTAAAAACAAAATAATTATTTCAAATGGTATCATTTCTATTTCAAATTTATCAGATTCTAAACTGAAACTTTTCATAATTTTCAACTTCATAATTTTTTATCTATTTATTTTTGTTTCACATATATGAGTGTTTGTCAGTGCTACATATGAGTGCCTAGTAGCTACAGAGGCCAGAAGAGGGCATTAGATCACCTGAAATTGGAGTTATAGATGGTGGTAAGCTGCCATGCAGGTGCGGGGAACTGAACTTCAGTTCTCTGCAGGAACAGCCAGTGCTCTTAACTGATGAGCCATCTCTCCGGTATTTTCATGTACTTATTTTAAGGTAACACTTCAATAGATACTTAAATACTTTCTCCATTACATTTAAAATTTATTTCAAAAGATATTTGCTCAGTTTGTCATCAAAGGATAAAGAATTCCAGTGTCTTTACATACATATGTGTGTTGTGGAAGTATAAATATGTACAGATATTAATTTGTATTTCCAACTCAATAATTAAATATGGCAAAGCTTACTATGTATCTTATTCCTACCCGAGTACCCATCTAAGTTCTCAGTGCTTAGTCATGTAAATGGAATAATACTGAGTGGGTTAAAATGAAGCATAAATACAACCTGCAAGTATTTTTATGCAAAAGCCTCATTTTTCTTTGACTAAAAATAGATTTCTTTCTCATATAGTGTGTCTTGAATTGTGTTTCCCCTTGCTCTACTTTCCTAGTTCCTTTTCAAACTCCCCCTCCCCAATCTGAATTTACTCTCTTTCTATCTTTCATAAGAAAACAGATTCCCAAGAGATACTAATATAATAAAAACAAGATAAAACTAACACATTGGAATAGGACAAAACAAGCAATATAAGAAAAAGAACCCAAGAGAAGTCACAAGAAACAGAGACCCACTTGTTTCCACACACAGGAATCCCAGAAAAACACTAAACTGAAAGCCAATATATATAATGGAATCTATAAGGTAAAAAAGAAAGAAGAAAAAATATACATAAATAAAATTTAAAAAATAAGATACTTTTTTTTTAAAAAAAAAGGAAAAACGCTGACATCATATTATGAGACAGGGAACATCCAAAGCTGATGCTGACTTTGTTTTCTGATGGCCATCTACTGCTGGACATGCAGCCTACCATTAAGAGTAGTTTATTCCCCAGTAAGATTCCCTTGCATGTAGTTGAAAGTTTTCCTGTATCCTGGCCTGCTGGTGGTCCCGCCAAATCTCTCCCACTTGCGTCCCCCAAGTAAGTACACAGAGGCTTATATTAATTAAAACTACTTGGCCCTTAGCTCACGCTTATTGCTGACTAGCTCTTACATTTAAATTAACCCATAATTCTTATTAATGTTTAGCCACATGGCTCAGTACCTTTTCTCAGTTCTGCCTTGTCATCTTGCTTCCTCTGTGTCTGGCTGGCAACTCCTGACTCAGTCTTCCTCTTCCCAGAATTCTCCTTGTCTGCGTATCTCACCTATACTTCCTGCCTGGCTACTGACCAATCAGCATTTTATTTATCAACCAATCTGAGCAACACACATTCACAGCATGCAGAATGGCATTCCACAGCACTTGGAGGAAACGAAACTTTCATTTAGAAGTGGTTATCTGTAGATGTAACCAACCGTCTTATTAGATAAGAAACAAAGAACCAATGCAAAGAAGAAAGCCAAGAGATCAGAGCTAAGAGCCTTACCCTGCAGCTAGCCTCTTCAGCCAAGAGACCTCTCTGAAAAAGACCTACTTCCTGTGTGTTTGTCTTTATTTAGTCTTTCTGTTCTGCCTTCTCATTGGTTGTAAACCCAAACACATGACTGCCTTGTCATTGCCTGTCTGTAGAGACTTCCAGGTCTTCTATGGTATTGAGATTAAAGGTGTGTGTCTCCAATGCTGGCTGTATCCTTGAACACACAGAGATCTACCTAGCTCTGCCTTCCAAGTGCTGGGATTAAAGGTGTGTGCCATGAATGCCCAGCTCTGCTATAGCTTGCTATTAGCTCTGACCCCCCGGGCAACTTTATTTATTAACATACAATTAAAATCACATTTCAGTACAAATAAAATACCACCATAGTTATCAATTGGAGAGTGATTCTGGGTTAGGGTGCAGACCCATGAAGGCCCTATGTATGTTGTTTCAATCTCTGTGTTGGTACTGATGATTTGTTTTCTTGGTGTCCTCTATCACCTCTGACGCTTGAACTCTTTCTGCTCTTTCTGCCTTCTCTTCAAGAGGGTTCTGTGAACACTAAGGGGAAGGATTTGATTGACCCATCCCATTTAGGAATGTATCCCAAGGTCTTTTATTCTCTGCATATTGTCTGGCTGTGGGTCACTGTATTTGTTCCCATCTGCTGCTGGAGGAAGCTTGGCCATGATGGCTGAGCAAGGCACTGATCTACAACTATAGTAGAATATCATTAAGAGTCATTTTATCCCTCCCCACTTTTTTTAGACCATTAGTACTTAGTATTTCCCAAGGTCCCTTAGATAGCTAGTCTCAGGTCCTTGAGCCAATCAGCATCAGGTATGAGTTCCATCTTGTGAGTGAGCCTTAAGTCAAAATAGATATTAGTTGGCTATTCCTAGAAGTTTTGTGCCACCATTGCATTAGCATATCTTGCAGGTAGTATACCATTGTAGACCAAAGGGTTTATGGCTGGCTTGATGTTTACATTTCTCTTTTGATAGCATAGAGTACCTTCCTGCACCCAAGACTCTAGCACCTAGGGGTGAAGACTCTATGTAGGCAACAGCTCGATTTCTTTTTTTACTGTATTAGGTTTCCTAAAATATATACATGTATGAAGGTGATCTAAATGAAATCACCAAATAATCAAGAGACAGAGTGACAACTGGATATTTCTTGTTACTAAATGAAGCTTCCAGTAGCAGGATTGGGTTACATCTAATTGCGTTATTTGAAAATGGGTTCCAATGGGAATCCACAAATAACCCAGATTGTTGCAAAGACTATAGTTTCCTCTTCACAAACTGATGGCAAGCCCATACTGCTGAAGATAATGTTTATACAACTCATTGGACATAGAGAAATCGAGCAGGATTAAAACAGGTGGATGAAGTGGAGAGGGAGAGCGAAGGAGGGGCAGGAAGGAATATGGGGAGAGATAGTTTTGATAGCTAGCTTTTTTATTTTTTTATTTATTTTTTTTTTGTTTTTTTTTTTTCGAGACAGGGTTTCTCTGTGTAGCTTTGCGCCTTTCCTGGAGCTCACTTGGTAGCCCAGGCTGGCCTCGAACTCACAGAGATCCGCCTGCCTCTGCCTCCCAAGTGCTAGGATTAAAGGCGTGCGCCACCACACCCGGCTCTAGCTTTTTTAAAGCTCTTTATATAATTTTGGATATTAGCACTCTGTCAGATGTGTAGTTGGTAAAAATCTTTTCCTGTTCTATAGGCTGCCCCTTTATCTAAATGAGAGTGTCTTTTGGTGTATAAGAGCCTTTCAGTTTCATGAAGTTATAAATTATTTATCTTAGGGACTATGCTAACACTTCTCTGTTCAGAAAGTCTTCTCCTATGCCAATGAGTTCAAAGATATTGCCCACGTTCTCTTCTATCAGGTTCAGTTTATCTGGTTTCATGTTGAGGTCTTTGATTCATACAGAGTGATAAGGATAGATCTCTTTGGATTCTTCTACATGCAGCTGTCCAGTTTGACCAGCACTAGTTGTTGAAGATACTTTCTATTTCAAGTGTATATTGCAGCTTCTTTATCAAATATCAGGTGTGTGTGTGTGTGTGTGTGTGTGTGTGTGTGTGTGTGTGTGTGTGTGTCTTCAATTCTATTCCACTGATTGATGTATCTGTTTTTGCACCAATTCAATGCTGTTTTTAGTACAATAGCTCTGTAGTACAACTTGAAATTAGGGATGGTGAAACCTCCTGCGGTTCTTTTATTATTCAGAATTGTTTTTTTAGTTATCCTGGGGTTTTTTTTTTCATATGAAGCTGAAAATTGCCCTTCCAAGATCTGTGAAGAATTGTGCTGGAATTTTGATGGGGATTGTGTTGAATCTGTAGATTACCGTGAAAACCTCTTTATTAATATAAAATGTTCTTGCTGTATAGTCTAGGCTGGTGTTGAACTTGTGATCCTTCTGCCTCAGTGCAGGCATTACAGCTGTGTGTCACTGAGAAGAGCACTCAAGAAAGTAAACATTCTTTCTGATGGAAATTAAAAAATGTTATAGTTCATTTGGGAAGATACCACTTAAACAATCATTGTAATTGATTTAAATGACAGACAACACCAAGGTAGAATATGTGTCCCAAGCCAACTTGTAAGTAATGGCTGGTGTTGCCATTGAAGTGAAGACTCGTAACTAACTTGGGGCTGCTTGGTCTAACCTCAGACCAGGGGAGGAAGAATGTAAAGCATCTATTCCCCTGTCAAACAGAATGCAATATTAACTACATGATTACCTTTATCCAGTTATCTATAAGAGAGAGTCACTCCACAAATTCCATCCATTTAAGGAGGAATAAAAGGAACAAAGAATTGTTTAAATGACATTCCTTAAGTTTATATCAAGGGACTCTTTTCTTTTTATTCCGTTCACTGGCACCTTTATGGAAGTGTTATTGGCTTAACATTTTAAACCTGCCTCACTATAATCAGATTGCCCTTTATCCTCATTCTTTAATATTTTAGAAAGTATAAGCAATAGTAAAATCAGGATTATTTTAAGTTACCAGTTCTGAACAAGTTAGTTACATCTGTCCTCAGAGTTAGGCCTCAACTTGTAAGTATATGGGAGTCCAAAATCAGACATGTTTCTTTCAGAAAATTTACCTATGGAATCATGATATATAACCAACTCTGTTTTTGCTCATAAATTATTAAGATTTAAGATCAGTCATTACAAAATTATTATTTCCCTCAATGGCAAGGTGGTGTGTGTATGAGAGGGGGGGGAGAGTAGCTAAGCTTATCCAGAAAACTGGAGGTCAAAATTTGGTGTTTCCTTCTGTCAATCTTCAACCTTATTTTTTTTCATCATTCCTTTCCCCCAACTCCTCCAAAATCCTTCCCACCTCACTAACTACTAATTCTCTCTCTCTCTCTCTCTCTCTCTCTCTCTCTCTCTCTCTCTCTCTCTCACTCTCTCAAAAATGAATGCATAAATGAAAACAAACACAAAACCAATAAGACCAAAAAAATACCAAAACAAAAAAAGAAGTGCACAAAATTTATGAAGTTCATTTTGTGTGGATCAACTACTTCTGGGCATGAGGCTTGCCTAGGAGTGTAGTTAATATACCCATGACACCCCAATGGAGAAAACTATTTTTCCTTTTTCCAGAAGGTACCAAATGCAAATAGATTATTGGCTAGGGGCATGAATTTGTGTCTACTTCTCCTTCTCAGTGATGGGCTTTTGGTTGATTTGAATCTGCGCAGG